CTGGAGGGAAAACTGCCTATTTAGTTTGAATAGCCTGCCATGAACCCTGGGCATCCTGAAATGGCACATGAATATTTAGCACGGGATGTGTGGAGGAGCCCCGGCGTGGCTTGCTCTCCTCAGCGTTTCCCAGGAGGAGTGGTTCATGCTGCGTGTTCAAGTTACCGTACGGGCATGTGTGAGGTGGCCAGACGGGAACTCGTCGCCGGTGCAGGGAGGTTCCCGCTGCGAGCTTATTGTGTCCTAATAAAAGTGCCTTTTTAAACATCGCTATCTCAATTTAATGCAGGCGCTTTGATCACCGGCCTCCGGCAGATCCTTACTGCCAGGCTCGTTACACCTTCTGTCCAACTGGCTCTTCCATTCCGGTAATGAACGACAAAGACGTCTTCGAGGTGTATCGGATGCAAGCGCCCGTCTGGGAGTTCAAATACGGAGATCTCCTGGGCCGCCTGGTAAGCGGCTGTCTCTTCCCCCTCCCCATCCTTAGACTTTTACCACCGCCCACGTGAAGACACGTGGAGCTGCCTTACACTCGGGGGTCATTTCGTAGAAAAAAAGGTGCAGGAGCTCATTAGCATAACTTATTTGCATATGCCTCACCATCTGACATCACCGGAAGTGTGTCAGAAGGCAACACCCACCGCTCAGGCTCCAATGGACTGTTTTGGATTCCTAGCTATCGGGGGGGGGGGACATGCAGATCTGTCCTCACCAGAGGAGGGAGAGCTTGTACCTGAATAAAACTTGGTCTTAAAGGTGCCACTGGACTGTTTTGGACCGAGGGGCCGGGGGGGGGGCTCTGCAAATTACCTGGCTGCTTCCTGCTCTGACTGAGGGCTACTGGGAGCAGGGGGTGGGGCTTGTTGCATGTGCCCGCCCCCTGGGCTCTTTACTGCCAGAGTCATTAAGATGAGGAGAAGAAACATGAACGCACGAAGATGCCTTAGAGCGAAACAGATCCATCAAGAACAGTCTGGTCTACCCTGCCCAGCAGTGGCTTTCCAGGGTCTCAGGTTGAGGCCTTTCACTTCACCTGCTGCCAGATCTTTTAACTGGAGAGGCCGGGGGCTGAACCTGGGACCTTCTGCATGCCAATCAGAGCCATGGCCCGTTGTGACTGCCTTCCCCTTGGTCAGTATTGTCTACTCAGACGGACAGCAGCTCTCCAGGGTCTCAGGACGGAGGTATTTCTCGTCACCCACTGCCAGATCTTTTAACTGGAGAGGCCGGGAGTTGAACCTGGGACCTTCTGCGTACCAAGCAGGTGCCCTACCACTGAGCCATTAACCCATTGTGACTGCCTTCTCCTGGGTTAGCCAACTGCTCCAATCAAGGTCAGGATTGACCACTCAGACTGACAGCGGTTCTCCCGGGTCTCAGCCTGAGGCCCCTCCCCTGAAAAAGTACACCACATCAGCCTACTGGTATATGCACTCCCATGCACCTGATAAAGTGAGGCCTGATTCTCAAAATGCTTGTGCGGGGGGAAATTGTTAAGTCTCTAAAATGCCAGGGGACTCCTGGTTCTATTCCTGCCTTTCTCCTGGCCTCTTTGGGAATCTTCCTCACACTTTGGGATTATAAAAACCCAAAGCAATTCTTCACGCTTTATAACACTGAACGTTCAAGACAAATCAAAGCTGTTCTCCTGGGCCATGGTAACTACTGGCAAGGTACGATAACAGCATTAGTTTGTTTCTCTGGTTCTTAAGGTATCAAATCTATACAGTTTGTTTTTGCTTAGGGCTTGTCTACACATTAACAGCATGGTACAGCCTTCCAAGGAGCTGCGGTGGCTCAAGTGGTTAAGATGCTGAACTGCAGGCTGTGGAAGGTCAGTAGTTCAGCAGTTCGAGACCCGGGTGCCGCATGATGGAGTGAGCTCCCATCTCTAGTTCCAGCTCCTGCCAACCTAGCAGTTCGAAAGCAAGAAATTGCAAGTAGATAAATAGGGACCACTTCGGTGGGAAGGTAACAGCGTTCCATGCACCTTGGTGTTTAGTCATGCCGGCCACATGACGACGGAAACATCTTCGGACAGCGCTGGCTCTTCGGCTTTGAAACAGAGATGAGCACCGCAACCCCAGAGTCGGATTCGACTGGCTTTCGAGCAAGGGAACCTTTACCTTTACTTTACAGCCTTCCAAGAACCCTGCCGCTTTAGATGAAAGTAGCAGGAGGGAAATGCTATGTTATCGTACCTTTCCCATCATCCTTGACATCCTGCAATAAAACACCGTATTTATCCCAGTACAACACAATTAGTGCTCTGGCATTGCCAGTCCGGAGACTGTTTTTCAGCTGAAGTCCTGTGTGCGCGTCTCCGGTAGCGGAGTCCTTTGACTTCACTGAGAGGGTAGCTTAGAACAAACTTACGCAGTATCAGAAAATGGAGGTGCAGACAACTGGCATTCCGGCAATTCCAGTTAAAAAGATGACCTTGGAAAGGCCCTGCCGGAGATGGTCTCGGACAGATGCTGCCAGTTGCCGGGGGAGGCCGTCCTGGGCTCGATGGCCGGACACTGTGTAAGATTGCTTTGTACGGAAGTGGTTGCGTATTGTGAATCCTGATTATAAACTGGCTCACTCTTTCATCAGGCGTGCATTTAAATTCTGCATTTTAGAAGAAGAGGAGGAGATTGGATTTATACCCCGCCCTTCACTACCCAAAGGTGTCTCAGAGCGGCTTACAAACGCCTTTCCCTTCCCTTCCCTGCAACAGACACCCTGTGAGATAGGTGGGGCTGAGAGAGCTCTTGACAGAAACTGCTCTTTTTCAAGGACAGCTCTTGTCAGAACTATGGCTTGCCCAAGGTCATCCAGCAGGCACAAGTGGAGGAGAGGGGAATCAAACCCGGTTCTCCCAGATTAGAGTCCGTGCACTTAACCACCACACCAGACTGGTTTTAATTCCTTAATGAGCCCCTGTTTTGCAGCGCTGGCGTGTCTAAACCGGTTCTAATTTTAATGTATTTAGGCATGCTTAATTTGGCATCAGAATGGGCTGTCGCTTGCTGTTGCTTTGATCAATAGCTTTCTTTGGGCCGAGCATTTAAGCATACAAATATAAACAGCAATGGAGTCCGAGAAACGAGAAACTTGCAAATCTATCTGGTCTGTCCACTGAGAAAATGCAAGGGAAAGTTTTGGTCCACATTTCTGCTGAGAGCCAGTATGGTGTAGTGGTTAAGTGCACGGAATCTAATCTGGGAGGACCGGGTCTGTTTCCCCACTCCTCCTCTTGCAGCTGCTGGATGACCTTGGACAAGCCGTAGTTCTGGCAGAGCTGTTCTTGAAAAAGAGCCGTTTCTGTCAGAGCTCTCTCAGCCCCACCCACCTCACAGGGTGTCTGTTGTGGGGAGAGGAAGGGAAAGGCTCAAAAGAGCTCTCTTAGCCCCACCTACCTCACAGGGTGTCTGTTGGGGGGAGGGGAAGGAGTTTGTAAGCCTCTCTGAGACTCCAGAGTGAAGGGCGGGGTATAAATCCAGTCTCCTCCTCTTCTCCTCCCTGTCATGGGTGAGCCATAATGGGGGCAAACACACTGGCCTGGGGGCTGAAACCAAGCTGTGGGAGGAGGGAGGGCAAATGCCTCTGCCAGGGTCCCGGGGCGCCCATCCCAGGCTGAAGCTTCATTAGTATGATTTAAGACTTCAGAAACGATAGCGCCCAATCAGCCGTGCATGGTGAGTGTTTATGAGAAACACAGAAGAGTCCAGTAGGAGCTTAGAGAACCAACAAGATTTTGGGCTGTAAGCTGTCCAGAGTCAAGACTTTCACATACCTTCGGGACCGTCTCCTCCCACATGCCCCCAGAAGAATGCTGAGATCAGCTGATAACAATCTGCTGGTGATCCCCGGCCCTCGGGAGGTCCGGCTGTCCTCGACCAGGGCCATGGCCTTCTCGGTCCTGGCTCCGACCTGGTGGAACTCTCTGCCAAATGACATCAGAGCCCTGCGGGATCTTACACAATTCCGCAGGGCCTGTAAGGCAGAGATGTTCCGCCAGGCTTTTGGTCGAGGGCAGCAACGGGAGATTAAGACTGGCACCCTCTCCTTTTCCTTCTGTGGCCCCCCACATTCCCTACCCTGCCCTGCGAGAACAGCGGCGTGACCAGCGATGGGACGTTTATATTGCCATCTTGATGGGTTTTAATTTCTTGTTCCGATCAGTCATTTTAATTACAGATTAATGTATTTTTAAACGTCTAAAAGGTGGTTAGTCGCCCAGAGCCTGCTCTGCAGGGGTGGTTCATAAGTTTAATTAATTAAATAAATTAATTAATAAAAGCTCCCTTCATCAGATGCAAGTGGGAATGGAGATCCCGGAGTCCTTATCTTCTAGTCAGAAGGTGGGAGGGTTGCTGCCCCAGGAGGAAAACAGGATGCAGAGCTACAGTGCACGTTGTAATCCGCTTGACTAAAGCAGAGAAGAAATGCTTGGGGGCAGAAAATTAGCATCTGCAGTGAGACAAGAATCCGATGTCCCTGTTCTGCCCTGGGGGAGGTCCATTGTTTTAAATCCGTGAATGAACTCAAGCTCAGCGAACTGCGTGAATGAACTCGGGCTCGGCAGTCTATGAGAAACAAGTTCCTGGTCAAGGCTTACCAGGGCACAGTGGGTGAAGGACCACCAAATAGGAAGGCGCAACTGCTCCCCTTTGGGTGTGCACAGCGGCGTCTCTGAGCAGGAGTTCCCAGTTCAGCATGATGCACAGAAACCACTGCGTCCTCTTCTGAGAATCTTTCTCTGGGAATCATTTTTGGTCCATGGCTACAGAGGACCGGCTGTTCTCTTTCTTTTCAGAGAGTCATGCACGATGCGGTTGGTTTCAAGAGTTCGCTAACGGGGAAGAACTATACGATGGAATGGTACGAGATGTTCCAGCTGGGGAACTGCACGTTTCCGCACCTCCGCCCTGACGTGCCGGCCCCCTTTTGGTGCAATCAAGGGGCTGCCTGCTTTTACGAAGGGATCGACGACGCCCACTGGAAAGAGAATGGGAGTTTGGTTCTGGTTGCCACCGTTTCAGGTAAAAAACCCCAAACTTGCGCATTTAGGAGATATTTTTCTGGGGTTATTATTCTGGGGTTAACACACACAAAACACAGGCATTGTATCCACGTGTCTAGATCAGTGATGCTCATTCGGTGGCTCAGGATCCACCTGTGGCTCTTCTGAGCATTGTTCCCCAACATGGCACTTGCCCCATGGCTGTTTGAATTGATGGCAATTGCCAGTGTAGGTCTCTGTGAGCTGTGGAGTCAGTCCCACGGGTACAGATGATCTTAGGGCCCTTTTGTGTTCTGTGGAACTGTCAAGTTTGTATATTTTTAATATGCTAGTTGTGATAATTTCATGCCAAGTAAAAATGTCCATAGTCATATTTTATGTTCCTAAAGCAACAGAATGACTTTCAATCTAGAAAAAACAAAAGAAATGCTAATGTAGCATTTTTTCAATTTTTCCGAAACTTTCCGTTTTTTTTCTGAGCTTCAAAATTTCCGAAAATGTTACATCTCTAGTTTGGATTGATGGCAATTGCCAGTGTAGGCCTCTGTGAGCTGTGGAGTGAGTCCCACAGGTAAAGATGATCTTAGGGCCCTTTTGTGTTCTGTGGAACTGTCAAGTTTGCCTCCAGAAGTGTGTTTAGTGCACACGGACCCCTTCTCAACAGGAGCAATTTTCCTCTAGGAGTAAGGCTTTTTACTTTTGTGTTCTTCTTGACTGCTGTGCAAACCATGTAACAGCAGACACAGCCCGGACAGATGTGAGCTCATCCAAGTCTGGAAGCTGAGCAGGATTGGCCATAGGCAGGCCTTAGATGGGAGACCACGGATGAAGGCCAGGGTTGTTACACAGAGGAAGGCAGTGGCAATCCACCTCTGCTCGTCTCCTGCCTTGAAACGTCCAGCTTGATAAGAACATAAGAACATAAGAGACGCCAATGTTGGATCAGGCCAAAGGCCCATCCAGTCCAACACTCTGTGTCACACAGTGGCCAGAAATACCAGTGCCATCAGGAGGTCCAGCAGTGGGGCCAGGACATTAGAAGCCCCCTCCCACTGTTGACCCCCCCCAAGCACCAAGAAGACAGAGCATCACTTGCCCCAGAGCCCCTAGCTATACCTTGTGGCTAATAGCCACTGATGGACCTCTGCTCCATATGCTTATCTAATTCCCTTTTGAAGCCATCCATGCTTGTAGCACCCACCACTTCCTGTGGCAGTGAATTCCATGTGTTAATCACTCTTTGGGTGAAGAAGTACTTCCTTTTATCCGTTCTAACCCGACCGCTCTGCAGTTTCATGGAGTGCCCACGAGTTCTTGATAGTACTCAGTTATTGCCTGGAGCGGGGTAGCCTAGCCTAGCCCAATCTTGTTAGATCTCAAAAGCTAAGTAGGGTCGGCCCTGGTTGGTATTTGGATGGGAGACCACCAAGGAAGTCCAGGGTTGCTACGCAGAGGCAGGCCACAGCAAGCCACTTCTCTTGTCCGGAAAACCCTGCGGGGCTGCCATAAATCGGCTGCAAGTCACTGGCCAAAAAAAAAAAGAAGAAAGAAAAGCAAACCATTCCTGTTTCTTGCTGATTTTGGCCCAGAAGAAGGGTTGGCTGTCTCGCGATCCTAGTAGATACGGCAACCTAAAAAAAAATTCTGCATTTCAAAGCAGCGTTTTATGCAGTGGATCTAGCTCAACTCCTAAACTGTCTGCACAGTCTTTCAAGCGCCCTAGAGGTAACATAACGAAATGACTTCTGGAGTAGAGTTAATCAGTGGCAGCAGACACTCCGGGTCCCTTTAAACCCCTGCTTTCTGTTCTTCATGAAAGCTGCAAAAACAGCTGAGCGGCAGGGAGATGCTCCCCACCTTTCACCTGTTTAAGGGGCTTGCAGGGCCACAAACCAAATTCGCAACCAACCAAACCACATTTCCCTAGTTCGTGCCCATCCCTAGTTGGGACACAATCTCGTGTTTGCCTGTGTTAGGAGGGAATAAGAGGAAGAACCCTGTGCTTCCCAGAGAGGCAGAGGTGGCATCAAGGGATTGTGGAGGGGAGGGTACATGAAAAACAGGGCCAATCCACACACTTACGACGGCCTCAAATCCACAAAGTGCAACTTTTCCTACCGTCACTTAAGTCTTTCTGTCTTGGTCACCTGTAACTTCTCTGTTGTGTGGCGCAGCTCGAACAGGAGGTCGGGCAAGCTGCTCGTGCGCAAGGCATGGTTACTCAGTGGCAAAGTGCCAGGCTTGTCCTCAGACTGCTATTTGGCCTTTGGCTCATGCTAGATTACCTGTCAGCCACACTCCAATCAGAATTATGCATCCAGTTCTTTGGAGATGCAGAATAAAAGTATTTCGTTCAGCTGGTTGAGAATTTCAGCTTTTATTTATTTTTATTTTTTAAAGCAAGCTTCTAGTCTTTATGGTTACAAAGACTAATTTGCTGATGCACCGCCAGTCACATTTTCCACTTAAAAGACACAGGCGAGAGAAACAAAGCCAACAGCCGGCCATTTGCTGTTAAACCTCATGCATGCAAAAGGGTGGCTGAATAAGATAATAGGCAGGGTTTTAATGCCTGGCATAGCTCCTGCCACCTCCCTGTGACTGGAAAAAGCAGGCCTCATGCAGATAAAGAAAAATTGCAAACTAGCACACTGCTAGACATCCGCTACTATTAGGGAATGGATGCTGCCTCTTCTCCCTCTCAGGTGACACTACTGAACTGTTTTTTTTGTTTCTCTCTGCCCAACCCCACCCCCCTCTCTAGGTGCTATGTTTAACCAGATGGCAAAATGGGTGGATTACGACAACAGAACTGGAATTTACTATGAGACCTGGGTGGTCAAAGAGAGTCCAGAGGAACAGGCCAGGGTATGGTTTGAGGCCTACGAGTGCTCCAAATTTGTCCTAAGGCTGTATCAACAACTGGCGGACATGGGAGCAGTTTTCAAAAAGATACAAACCAATTACACCACCCTTACGGTCTTCAGCGGAGAGCCCACTTGTCTCGGGAACGAAACCTCCATCTTTGGACCCCGAGGCGACAAGACGCTCGCCCTGGCGATCAGAGACTTCTATTCTCTCTTCACACCCCATCATTCAGTCAAAGAATTCTTGAGAAACTTCTGGAGAATAGTCAACGAAGTGATTCTGAAGCGTCACTTCTACCTGTTCTACAACATGGAATACTGGTTCTTACCCGTGAAATTTCCTTTTGTCAAAATAGCCTATGAGGAAATCCCCTTGCCTAGTTCAAAAGCCAGGAGACTGAATCCCCCATCACAAAGGACATCGGCAGATACAACCCGGTTGTGAAAACAGTCAACGCTCTCGTGAATGTCTTTTATTTCTATCAGGAGAGCGCCCCCAGGAAGATTTAATTTACAATCCATCCTGTCTTGTCTTGCACTGAGTAAGAGCAGGAGAGTCTTTTATATACTGAGTTGATTCACGTCTACAGCAATGTTCCCTCTAAGCTGTGAAGTCCTGTGAGCAAAAATTCTACTTTGTGAGCTACTGGCAGTACAGTTGTCAGCAAGTAATTTGGCTGCTGCATCAATTAGTTTGCTCTGGAGCCCTCCCTCCTGAGCTAAGATAAAAATGTGTGAGCTGGAGGCTAAGAAACAGTGAGCTAGCTCACACTAACTCAGCTTAGAGGGAACAGTGGTCTACAGTACTGTAAGACAGTAAGCAGCTGGGCGTGCTCCTTGGGCGTACTCTTCCAAAGTGGTGCCTTATGCCTGGTGGAGACCAATTGTTTAATTAAGCATTCAAACCAGAAGTGGCCGGTGTAAATACCGTGTGACAGCACTTCCTAAGCAACGAAGTCATCAGAACTGTTCACAGTGGACAACTTGGCACAGAAGGAGCTATGCGAGTTTTGCTTCTGCACCAGGAGTATATGGATTTGGACATTTCTGTGTGTGCAAGGATACCCCTGTGGAGCACAATTTTCTTGCCTCCTGTTCCTGTGGCAGCCACAGATCCCCCCCTGAAGTCTTGTTCTCGGGGGTCCTCTCTGTGGGAGGTGGGATAATGAGGCTCTCCTTCGTGTAGAGGTGAAAGAACAATCTGGGTCTAGACAAGAAGGCCGACAGAAATAAGTTCCCTTAATTGTTTTAGATCCAGAGGGGTTTGCCGTGTGAGTCTGCTGCTGCAAAATAGTAAAAAAAAGCCCAGTAGCACCTTTAAAATTAACAAACTTTATTGTAGCACAAGCTTTCGAGAAACACAGCTCTCTTCACTGGCCAAGAGAGCTGTGTTTCTCGAAGGCTGATGCTACAATAAAGTTTGTTCATCTCAAAGGTGCTACTGGCTTTTTACTTAATTATTTTGTAATTTATGGCCAGGTTTGCCTGTTCGTGTCACATCTCGGAGGCTAAGCAGGGTCAGCCCTTCTTAGTTCTCGGATGGGAGACCACCAAGGCAGGCCAGGGTTGCTTAGCAGAGGCAGGCCGTGGCAAACCACCTCTGAACGTCTCTCGCCTTCAAAACCCTACAGAGCTACTCCAAGTCAGCTGCAGCTTATCTTCCACCATCCATTTAGAGCCACTCTGTTGACTGAAAGTGGTGGTTTGGATCTTACAGAGTGCGCTCGTTTAGAAAAAGCTTCTCTATGAACACGCCCGTAGGTTGATTAATAGGTAAAGCCGACTCCCCAGTTGCTCTTCACGGCAAAGAGGGCCTTGCTTATAAAATGCAACTTCCCGCTCAGCCATGCTCACACAAGTTGATTTCTGCATAACTCTGTTGAACAGATTCTCGGAAGTTTATGCCTTGAAACTCTTGTTGGTCTTCAAGGTGTTACTGTCAAACCTAATTGTCCTATGCAGACCCACATGGCTGACCTCTGGAACAATCTGCCACATGGGCATCAGGAGAGAAAACTATGAATAAGGAATTTAGAAATTTAATGGGGGTTTGAGTGTTTTTTAAAATTAGAAGCAATCATTCTTCAGGTTTTGATTCCATTGTGTGGAAGAAAAATGGATGCCTTAAAACCTCTTCGGTGCCTCTCCTCCCTTCCCCCAAAATCTGGGATTAGGATATTAAAGGACAGAACAGGTGTAATAATCCAGCAGGTTTAAACTCCAGAAACTTTCACTACGGCAGAAGTAGGAGACCAAAGGGAGGGGGCAGAATATCCAGGTAGTGGTAAACCTAATCCCCTCATTTACAGACAGAAGGTCTTTGGCACGACCTCAAGAAAACTGTCCAGGATAATTTTCTCCAGCATACCTTTCCCTCGCTAGGCAACAACAACAACAACACATTTAACTACTGTGCATTTCTAGGTTAGAGGAAATGATTTGCAGGAAGGCAGCAGTTTAGGAATCTGCCGTTTTGACAATTAAGGCAACAAGTAATTGGTCTCCCTCGCCCCACCCTGCCTCCCCAACAGTTTTGAATTTTACCCGTGTCTTCTGCTGTGAGGCATCTCTTGAGATAAGGAAGAAGCTAATTAAAGCAGCAAAGGTATGGCCATAAATCACTTCTCTCAGGACAGCTGGAGCTGTGCTGTTTTGCAGATAGGTGGCTATTTCAAAGATTCCAGTGCTGGCCTGCTTGTGATAATTTACGGCACATGTAAAAAGGTACTCAAAACTCAACTACTTTTTGCTTTTTTAAAAAAATAGTGCACCCCTAAGCCGAGTTACACCCTTTTAGGCCTATTGACTTTAACAGATATAGAAGGAGATAACACTGTTTAGGATTCCACTGGGTCTGGCAAATATCTCATTTCTCCAAAGCTACACAATTACAGCTACACACAGATACTATGTAGAACTAATACTATTAATGCCGCTGTTCAGTGTCGTATCACCAGGTTCCCCCACATGACAGCACTGACCCCAGTCTATGACACCTTCACGCTCTAGCCAATGAAGCGCGTTTGTGATCAGAACCTTGGTAATCCTTGTATTCCCCACCCACCCCAATCATGAAGTCATGTACGCCCCTAACCATCCTAGTTATGGGCCTAACCCCTGGACTGTTCCACACCTGTTCATAACAATCAAGACGGGAGGAACTGTCTGAAGCTCTGGCACAGCAGTCACCAGCCTTTCCGGATCCATCCCTACCCCCCCGCCCCCGGGGGAAGCAGTATGGGGCCCACCGGGCTGCAACACGTGATAGGAAGTCATGTGACAGGAAGGGGAGCCAGTTATAACCTGGTTGGCGTCAAGGATAGCCGCAGCAGACCCAAGAGGCAGGAGACCCATGGCGAACAACAAGTGTGTTGTAGGGAGGGGACAACCCAACACAAGTAGGTTTATTGTGTTTTCATGCACACAAAATAGCTCAACTTGCTTTCTCCTTTCTCACCATGCATTCCCAGGAACCTCATTCTGCCACCACTCAGCCCAGCCTTCTACATAGACACACAGCATTTTTTTCAGAGGAGGTTCTATATCCCATACACTTGCATGGAGCACTGAAAGGCCAAAGGGCTGGTGGAGAAAGAGACAAATAAGACCTTTTACAGGGAAAGGGGGCTCTGTGCCGTGCTGCAAGCATCTGTGCTGAGCATTTGAGGCCAGATTGTTTGGGGGGGAGGGGGGACCGACAAAACAGAGGCGCTCAAGTTCACCTGTGCTAAAAAAAACAACCACCCAAACCCCTCTTTACCACTCAGTGAGCTCACCATACCAGTCTCCTAGCTCCTCTCACCATGGCATGCAAAAGAGCTGGATGGCACAGCGCCCCTTGCTTTGCAACACAGACACACTAGCAGCAAAAAGGAAAGCTCGACAGGAGCTCACCCTTCCAGCAATTGGGCCCTTCTGATGCTGGTCCAGGAAGTTCCAACAATTGCTCCGTACAGGTGCAGAACCCGATTGTGGGAATGTGCAGAGTCCGACACATGCTGTTTATGAGACGACAAAAGGAGAAATGCTCTCAGCTCATCACAGCAGCTCCACTGTAATAAAAAATGGCACTCCCTCTTGTGGAACACACACCGGACAAGGACATCCAAGCTGGTCTGCTTGCACGGTCTATCTACAGAATTCAACTGGGGGTACAGAATGGCAACCTGTACCCCATACACTCTGTCCTGCTAGAACAGCTGGATCCATGTAGCCCAAAGAGCAATTTCTTTCTAACACTGAGCAGCTCATAGGCAGGATGCTCTCTGGTTTGTCCTGTATCCATTGGACAATTTTATTATATGACCAGGAGCTCTGGTATTACGAGAACGAAATACCTTTTTTTAAAAATGACATTCATTAATTTAATAAACCTGTCATGTTTTTCCATCAAATAATCATCGCTTCTGATAAAACAATCCAGATGTTTTAATTCTTCCTCGTAGAGAAGGTGCGCCAAACTCTTGGCCAATTTCTTCCATTCCCATTTCTAGCTTGGTATCTTTTGCAATCATGACCAGAACTGTCCCCCAGGATTTCAAAGACAGCCACTGCACAGGTTTCCATAAAGGAAATACGATAATAACAATACACTACTTTTACTAACAGGCACTGATATGGAATACGCCCTTTCTGGTGTTGCTACACATATCACGTTGATGTTTTCACTGAGATATCCACCGTTACTCCCAAATCTCTTCCTTGGTCAGTCAATTCAGTTCCCATCAGTGAAGCTGCCGTCTTTCTGCCCTAGGGGGCGCTGCTTGCTTGCATTTTGCTTGTGTCGCTGCAATTCTGAGCAATCTGGTATCGTCTGCAAACTGTGTCCACTTCCCCCCCACCCCGATCATTTACGAAGAAACAGAACTGTTCCCAATACAGGTTTTCTTGGAGAACTCCAGAGTTTATTTCTCCCCACTAGGAGAAATTTCCCCATTAAAGCCTGTGCAAGGAAGGACACACGAGCACAGAGCTTTGGTGTGTCTTCAACAGGAGCTATCACTAGATCAAGGTACTGTTATGTTTAGCATATAGGCTATAGTGGTGGGCTACCATGTACACAGGATCTACCTTGGGAACTTGGCATCTCACGCAAGTTAACTCTCATAATTTCAGGAAGAAAAGAGAACATTGTGAGCCATTATTATTATGGACTGGAGTTTTCATATTGATCTGCAGAGCTTTACTGAAACCTGGGTACTAAGAGGTTGATAAGAGGCTGGGTTAGAGTCTGTTACAGAGGTCTGCTCTCTTGGCCATCGCTCCTCCTCCTTGCCATATAAACCCCTTTTCTGCCATAAAGTCACAGCTGACTTGTGGTGAGCTTTTTCCAAGGCAAGAGAAAAACAGGGATGATTTGCCACTGTCTGCCTCTGTGTAGCGACCTTTGACTTCCTTGGAGGTTTCCCATCCAAATGTTAACCAGGACTGACCACTGCTTAATTTCCAAGAAATGATGAGATCCGTCTAGCCTTGGCTATCCAGGTCAGGGCATAAGCTTTATTAACTACCCCAAAATTAACTCCCCCCCCTCCCTTTTATCACCTTAGCCCTGCCCTCCATCTCACATTCTTTGAATACCTTAAGTAAAAGAGTACATCTGTTCAAATTCAATATTTACACATTTATTCAGATGCAAAATTCACAGCCTTGCCTATCATTTTTGTTGGGAGTAAACTTCACAATACAGATTTAAAGGAAGTTGAAAAATAATTTTTTCCCATACAATCATGACCAGTTTCAGAATCACTATTGCTAGTCTCGTTAAACACATTAAACTGTAAAATGCCTTTGGCCAAGAACGATTAAAGTACTGCTAATATGTACTACAGCCCTTGAAAATAGTTACAAGAACCCTATTACATTTTACTACACAGGCTATGTGTTGGATCAAGAACATCGTGGCTTCTAGGTATCAATCAGTTCTACGTGGGCCAGAATCCCAAGAGCTCTGCCTGAGAAGGCAATGCTGTGCATGCATGAGACAAAGAGACAACTATCTGGAGCCCACCCACCCCCTTCGCCATGCCTGTTTCCTCTTTCTAACAAATCTGAGGTTCAAGAGCTTGCATGTGATGGATGATAAGTGTACATGACACAATCAGAATGAGGGGGAAGGGAGACCAACAGAACCAAAACAAGCTGTGTCTACAGGCAGACTGGAAGCAGGAGGTGAAACTTTCCCCAACTACTATTTCAGAACAGAGAAAGGATGACAAAACACAAATGGCAAGATTCACATGTACGGTTTTTAACATGTTTGGGAATGTTCCATTACTTATTAAAAGTTGTATAATAATAAAAGGGGGCAGGAGATAAGGGAAAATGCACAACACGTAACAACACGGCATAGGTAAGGGTTATTACATATTACTGGGAGAGGGGGAGAAGTCAAGAGGCATTCCCGTGTCATTCATAGTGTGGACTTCTGGACGGCTGGTACAGCACAGGCATGAAGACTGACAAGTGTGGGGGGCGGCATAATTGGAGCTAACTTGAATGGGTCTTGAATGGGTGCGCAAAAAAAAATAATCCGGTATTTTTCGGCTTTGGGTATATCAGAACTGAAAAATACCGGTAAATGCTGAATTTCCCCAGTCCAATCCCAGTAACGTATTTGGCTTGGGGAAATATTTAGTATCCCTGAATATCTTTGGGTCTGATATACACCACCGGAGGGAAAGGAGGCCTGTTAAAATGCTGTCTTTCCCTCTGGCAGCCCATAGGGATTTCCTTGTCAATTTCACTCCCCACTAGTCAGCTGTGAGTGAAATTGACAAGGGAAAGCCTCTGCTCTCTGCCTTCCCTTTCCTAGCTGATATGGGGTAGCTGGAGAAGAGCAGGCAGGGAGCCCAGGAATGTTTAAAATGCCTTTCCTTCCAATCCGGGGAGGGAAAGAAAGGCATTGAAACCCCCCCCCCCACTTTCCCTCCCTTCTCAGAGTTTCTCCGCAGTAGTGGAGAGGCTCAGAGAGGGAAGGGAGGGGGAGGAGGCATGCTTCCATGCCTGTCCTCCTTCCCTTCCCCAGCCCGCTTGCCGCAGTGGGCTGGCTGGAGAAGGAAAGGGCAGGCAGATTTAAAATGCCTTTCTTTCTCTCTCCGATCTGGGGAAAGAAAGAGAAAATTCCTTTCTTTCCCTCCCCGATGTCTAGGAGGGAAAGAAAGGCATTTGAACCCAACAGCTGACTGGCGGCTGTTAGGTTTTTCAGTATAGCAAAATGAACCCCCCCAAAAAAGCCAGATAATTTCAACCTTTTTGGGTTCTGCTATACCGGTAGCCGAATACAGATCAAAATCTGTATTCGGCTTGTATGATACCTGAAAAATACCAACAAGGTATTTTTTTGGTTCGGCTATTGCCGAATGCACACCCCTAGTCTTGAATTATGCCTGTATGGGGCCTTTTAAAGGAGAAGGAATACTTCATGCAGAACAACTTTATCTAGAGACAAGCCACCTGCTCTTATATTTGATATATAAGCCCAACAGTTCACCTATCCAAAGCCAGAAGGATCAATACGTTAGATTTAAATAGAACTTCTTATCAGTAGCTTTGCAAATAAGCAACAAACCTACAAAAGGATGTCAGTCAACTACTGACTAGGGTGAGGGACACAGTTACAAAACTTAGTTTGTCTGGAAACCTTTTCAACTTGGCCCAAGTAAGTAGCTCTGTAGAGACTGCATGGGAGCCACTTCCCTGGTATGCTCTGACATCACGGCACTGACTATATCAAGGAACCCTATGGGTGGGGCAAATGACTTAGCTCCTTCCCATGAAAGCATCATATCCTCCCATTCTCCCCCATCAACTATGAAGAACAGCACCTTTCACCTAGTCCATATGGTTTTCCATTCAGAAGTTAGGAGAATAACACAAGCAATCTAAGAATTGGCTCCCACTCCGCTGCACAGAGCCATCTTAATTTCTGAAGATCTGGGCTCTGCGTTAGTGACTCTGTATTTCGGATAACAAAGGAAGGATCATATAGACAAAGAGAACAGAATGTTTGCTCTCCTCAGGTTCTACCAATACTTCACCACCACTCAGCCTTTCAAAGACACGGATCGGCATTTTGCAGTTCAAGCAAACTAGCCATTTCAGCTAGTTTGACAGGATCCAGACAACTGGCCTGTGGATTAACCCACACAAACACACATACACACCAGAACTTCGTGCAGTATCAAACCCTATTCTTGCAACTGAGGTGAATGTCCAAGAACAGCAACGGACAACTGAAAATTCTTAACTCAAAAGAATTGTGATTGTTTAGTTATGCCATAAAGAGCACACAGTTGTCAAAGAATCAAGGACTGAAAGGTACACACACAAGCAGAAATTAAGAAATTTTCAAACACACACGGACCCAGTACATTTTAAGACCAAAAGGATGTTAAGTGCACACTGAACAAGCTGAAATAAAGTCTGCCTACTCCACAAAGTAATTCTTCAGCTTTTACATGAATATGTCTAGGCCACTGAGCAGTTTCCTTTGGAATTAGACTCTTTTTAAGAACACCTCACTGCTCCCATTTATCTCTACATACAGTGCATATACAGTAATAAAGCAGTTTTATTTATTAATTACACACACACCAAATCCATATTCACAAGGCTAGGTTTTGTTTTGAATCTAAAAAAGGATTGGGGAAGGGAGGAGTGAAATTTTATCATTTACTCTGTGTGCTGTGTAGCCTACCACTCCACTTAATATACTTTATGATCAAAACAAAAATACCCCAAAGAAAGAAGTACAAGGAGACTCAAGCCATCCACTTTATATATACATATTTCTGGATATACATATTTCTGGAGAAACATAAATTTGCTGTTCTGTAAAGATAATTTTACCAGTAAAGCCATGTTTCTTTTCAAATACCAAAGGGTCTTTAAAAACAATGAATTCAGAAATTCAAAATCATAACATTCTTCAGACTTTGAAGACATGCGCTGTAATCTTGCCAAGCAGTGTATGAAAACTGCTGTTTGAACAACTGAACGCTAAAGCCTCCTGAATCGACGTCTAGGTTTCCTGTCTCATTACCAATTCTGATTTCTCCACGCCTACTAACCCTTTGCATATCAGACCCAATCCAATCATGCCTGCTATTGTTGTTCTGCACCTGAAATCACTCCACTTTTCAAGATATAAGGACAGATGAACTGACATTCTAGCTGTATCTGAAGCAGTGAGCAGTGACTCACAAAAGCTTATAACCTGCCACAAATTTTGTTCGACTTTAAGGTGCTACTGGACTTGCCCTTTTCTATTGCTACAGACAGACAAACACAGCTACCCATCTTGATCTGCCTCCCAGCCTCTCTGGCTAATGAAAGTAATGTAACAATTCTTTAGATCATGACTTTTCCTAAGACTCAAGACTGCAATACTGGTCAAGTGTTACTACAAGAGACACAAGCTGTCCAACTAAGACACTAGGAGCTCCCCAAACCCATTGCCACTTACCCTTCCAGCAGCCAGTACCCTTCTCCCTTTACACTTGAAAATCGCTTATTACATTTAAAATTTATGTACAAATGTTTGGCTTGCTCTGATATTAGAAAATAGACATATCATTACTAAAGTCAATCTGGTAAAGCCATTAGCTTGAGAAAAACCCACAGATCTCCCTCATCAAAACACAGTATAGTTCTGTCAGAATACTTTAGTTTCCTGAGCTTTAACACCTTAAAACAGGTTTATATATAGATTGACAACCTGCAAATGTCAAATTCACATTTACAAAAATGCATTGGGGGGGGGAAGCTTTTGGAAACAATATTTGCTAGAGTGATTTAATAAGCAGCATACAATTGATTACTTTCTCTACATATAGGTTTAGGTCCAACTTCATAGCTGTATTGCTCTATCTATAGTTTTATCAAAATACTTAACAGCATATTGATTATTGTATGCTGTGCAACAACCTAAAGTACGTTTTGTAGTCTAAACGGCTGTTTTACAACCTGTACTGGATGTCAGCAACTGCAAGTCTCCAATAAAACCAAATCCTTCTCCCTGCAAATTGTGTTACAGTCAGTCGCGGCACCTAAAGTTAAAGTAGCAGGGGGGACAAAAAATACTGTGATGCAGTGATCCCCAGCAGTGCTGAATCTGTGGGCACTTCCTGAATGGCTGCTACCAATCCCCAAACGGTGGGAGGTTCCACAAAATGTTAGGAGGCTTCAAACCAAGCATCCTCCTGTGATGAAGGCAGCCATTTTCAACTGGGCACCCCCCCTTGCAGTTGGAAAGGTGATGCCTCCTGGCTCTTCTCAAGCACCTCCTACTCCAGTGGAGAAGATAAAAGCCAAGACTGGCTCTTTACTGTGGGGAAAAGATCCTAAGGGCAAGAAGCAAGTGAGGACCAGGAAACAAAATGGTGGTTACCATGCTGGGGGGAATCACTGCTCTAATGTCTCAGCAAAATCTGGAACAGAATCTGAGTTATCAGTCAGCTTGTTGTATTGTCTATATACATTAGAGGCCTGACTCAATTAAAGGAGGGCATAACTAGAAAACGTTTTATACAGGTAAGTGCTCTGAACATCCTCAGATTGTTCCCTTCAAGCTAGATTTTAGAAGCCGGCATTAAATAGTACATTAATGTTTCTAAGAACACATTACAATAAAACTCTATGGTATTAAATAACCTTATGTGATTTAAAGACGCAAGAGGGTATACTCAAAACATAAGGTGCTGTTCCACATGAAGTCCTCAGAAACTCTACCATGTGGGCATCATATCTGGAAACCAGACTCTACCAAGGTGTTTTGACACTTCCCAATGAATCTGCTCCAAGCTGTACTTCTGGTCAGGAATCAGGACTTCTTCCATGATAGACAACTGAGAAAGACGGCCACCACACATCTTCACAAACTCCACAAAGGCACTGCAAGAGACTTCACACTCCCCGAGGCCGATAGCTGACAGATTCTTACAGCGTTCTGCAATGCGGATGAGCTCTTCGTCCAGGGGCCGTAATCCATTGGCACACACTACCAGTTCAACCAATCGTGGACATGTCATTCCGACTCTGCCAAGTACATCTTTGCTTACTGACCTCCCAAAATAAAGGTGTGTGACGGGTGTCTCATAACGGAAGAATGGACCAAACTCCTCTTCATATAAGAAAAAATACATCACTAAATTTACTTTGGGAGAATGTCTGATGAAAGCATCCCAACTGCTCTTCTCGATTGCGTGGAAGTGGGTCTGTCCAGGATTCTCACTGACTACGTCTATGCGCAAGTGTTCTAATCGAACATGTTTTTCCGAAGACAGGGCGAGGAGGAGTTCATCACTCAGCAGGTGGTAGTTTAATGCAAGCTCACGCAAACCATGGCACTGGTCGGCTACACAGAGGATCCCTTGAAAAGAGAATTCAGCATGAGAAACCTGCTTTCACCATTCGGCCTATCGCACAACTGAAGACCTGCCTTAAACGTAACTTTGTGAATAAAGAGCTCAAGTACTTTTTTTTTGAGACGAAACCATTCTGCACGAATTAACAAAAATTGTTTTACACAAATTATTTTTTAAAAATATGTAGCATTTTATTCAGGACAGGCTGTTTGCCAACATATAAGTTCTCTTGTGGAAGTGACTAAAGGAGTGACGTCTCCTAAACAGAATTCAAATAACTCTGCCAGGGTGACACATATTGCTAACTGGGACAGGTAAGGATGTGTTTTCCCCCCCCCTCCACTTCCAAAAAGTACAGCCATTGAAAAGGGATGCTGCTAGAAAGAGATACACAGCATTTCAACATCTCTTTTCCATCTTCACAGAAAACTTCTGGTTACCCATCCAGATTCAGGGGACTTGATAGGGGACTGCACCCCTAATATTTTGTTTGTGCATGCACACCTATAACCACCAATTGGATGTGCAAATGGGGCATGGGAGGAGACCACCTGTCTCACAATGAATTATGACACCTACATGAAACATATAAGGTTGAGGTATATAAGGTATATCTCACTCTTATTTTGTAATGCCAATGACAAATAAACTTTGCATTTTAAACAAAATGTTTATGCAGAAGGAAAATAATGTATACATTTGAACATTCGGTTTTCTGGAAATCCAAATGTCCTCCCACTGGCTGGGAGAAAGGGGGAACCGAACTCACCGGTTCATGGTCTTTTGACTCGGTTCAGGGCTCACCCCAAGCCGAACTGGGTTTTTTAGGTTCATGTCCATCCCTACTCCAAATCAAGTACCACCTACAATGATTTAACCTTCAGTTAAGGCAGCTTAAGTCAACAGAATGAGTGTTAGGGTTGGATCCTGTGATCTACTTGTGGATGCATCACATATCTTCTTCCCCACTTTGCCCTCACCCCAGCAGCCCTGTCCAATCACAGAAAAGTTGATTCTTGGTGTTGTGGGGCTCATGTGGAGTAACAGCCACACAGGCTGGTGAGCTACAGAGATAAGGGGACAAAAAGGCAGTTTTGTCCCTTTCCCCCTCCTTACCATAGCCCACCAAGCTATGTGGCTATTACTCCACATAGGTGCTGCAACCGCGGGAAATCAATTTTTCCTTGATCAGAAGAGCTGATTTGGGGGGGGGGGGGATCCACAGCCACCTGAACCTTCTGCTGATGGATGGCTGCCTCCAGCCCTTACTTACCAAGTATACTAATTTGCTTTAGTAATTTCCCCACAGAAGCACATTCACAGAGATACTGCTTCATACTGTTGTATATAATATATAGTCAAAATAACTGATATTACTCAGTGTACTAAACAAAAAAACATGCGTAAATAATCCTGTGGTATTTCGAATCCTGTGATAGATTTAAAATGCAGAGAAGCTGCTTATTTGACAAACTGGGATAACTTAAGATAATCATTTGAGAGTACAAGAGCAAGCTCACCTGCTGGAGAAACATGAGGACAACTGCTCATCTTTAACAATTTCAGGGTATCACTGTTGTTAGCTACCAGTACCTTGAGAGATGGATCATCTACTGGTGTATCATCAATCTTAAGTGAAGAAAGTGACTTGGAGTTTACGAACACCACTGTCAATGCAGAAATAAAGTGTGACTGCAGAAAGAAGGAAATGGCCAAAGTTAGACATGAAACACAACACCCATAGCACAAAACATATTTCATCCACAGTAGAAAACCTGGCAATTTGTGTAATATTTCTGAGCAAGTAGCTTCTTTTCCAGACAGTAGCTTCTTTCTGGACAGACTAGGTCAGTGGTGGCGAACCTATGGCACGGGTGCCAGAGGTGGCACTCAGAGCCCTCTCTGTGGGCACGTGTGCCATCGCCCCAGCCAGGCCCAGACCATCATTAAAGTGTTGAGTTCTCTGCCAAATAATTTTAAGTAAATGAAAGCATTTGGGATTGCTTTCCTTACTTTGTTTGGATCATCTTAAGTTAATGTAGGAGTTGGCACTTTGCGATAAATAAGTGGGTTTTGGGTCGCAGTTTGGGCACTCGGTCTCTAAAAGGTTCGCCATCACTGGACTAAGTAGATGAGATTAGATGGATATCTGAATATTTATCATGAACCTGCAGTTTGCAACTCCCAAGTTATAAAAGCCTCCAAATCCAAATGACACATATAAGGTGGGAAGATGCCTGCCTCCAGCTGCATGCGAGATTTTTAAAAAATGAGACAGGATGCCAGTTTAGGACATGTGTCCCCCTTCTACCTTAAAGGACCTACTGCAAATATCAAAGGGATAAGAGCTTCTGAAAAAAAAAATCTGTCATAATCCTTTGTTAGGATCAGGAAATTTGGAACCAGTGTTCCCTCTAAGCTGAGTTAGTGTGAGCTAGCTCACAGTTTTTTAACCCCCAGCTCACACATTTCTGTCTTAGCTCAGGAAGGATGGCTCCAGAGCAAACTAATTTACGCAGCAGCCAAATCGCTCGCTCACAACTTTAATGCCAGTAGCTCACGAAGTAAAATTTTTGCTCACAAGACTCCACAGCTTAGAGGGAGCACTGTTTGTAACACAGAATTACTACAGCAGAATGCCACACAGCAACAGATTTATGAGGTACTGGTGGTACAGATGAGGATGGTCAGCAGAAATTAGAGATGCAGGTCTCATCCAGTCCATCCCACTTTCAGTTCGGAACAGTGTTTGGAACCGTGCAGCTGGAGAAATAGCCAAGCCAGCACCATACTGGCCTTGATGAGTAATGGCACACCTGACGTCACAAAGAAGAGGTGGCCGCAAGATGTGTGAATTTTAGTTACTTTCTTCAATCTACAGAAAAACAACAGAATAAAGACCTAGCAAAATTAACGTTAAACCACCACGTCATTTCGGGCAACGTTTTAGGAAACAGGAAGGGGAGAGTGATTCTGGATTGTCTTTCAGCAACAAAAGCCAAGGCACAGAAATTCTCAACCAGATGATTCCACGGCAAATGGAAAGCTTTAGGCCAGAGAAGCCCAAAAGTAAAAGGAGCATTTAATGGTCAAACAATGGGATACTCTTGGCAAACTTCAAGCAGCTGACATTCCCGTTTTCTCTAGCTTTTAAGATTAGTTGCTGGCATCATCCTGTTGGTTGTTGCAGCATCTCTTAGTTTCTGAATCTTGAATCAATTTCTTGGTTTCTCAGTGGGTAGTACCTCAGGATAACCTTTACCCAACCAAAACTATTTCCCAACATTGCGATGGCCAGAATACTCATCCAAAAATAGTGCCAAGGCAACGCTCCCTCTAGGCCACCCTGTTGGGTAATATGTAAGGCTTTATGCTTTTTTAGAGTTTCCCCTAGCTGCATGAGCCCAAGAATGAAAGAAGAGAAAACCGGAGAAACAAAAAACACAAGAAGAAATGGACAGAGGCAGGAGAACAAAACACTGCCGGGACAGCTGAGAAGCAAGAGCTGCTCTGTAAATAAGTTGTGAAGCACAGTGGCCTACCTCTGTTCTGACAGGGAGGGCAGTCACAATGCTCCTCTGTGTTCCTGCAGCCGGGGAAACAGTTCCACAGGCAATGCCGCCTGACGCAGATGTGCGTGCCGTCACTACTCCCAGAAGAGCACCCACACATCCAGCAATAATTGTGCTACCTTGTACTCCCTCACCCCCCTAAAAAACCCAGCCAACGTTGCGCCAAGCTCAGACTAACAGGCAGAAGGCAGGGGTGCACGTTTGCTACCTGGCTGTTCACCCCAGGCAAGAGAGCTGAAGGCCAAAAATGAGGTGAAGCCAAAAGAGGGGCCTTGAAACAAGTGCAGGCAAAGCAAGACAGAATTCCTGGCAGCACACATGTCCACCCTCAGCGTGCAAACCACAGGATTGAAAGAAAAGGGAAATGTTGGCGCTCCCTGTACAGTCTCTGAAGAGGGACTAACATGAATGAAGACTGCTTGTAGCAACACTGACAATACGAGGGGTCCGTGCTCTGTAGTATTGCAATGACTGGGGGCCAGCACCATTAACGAATCCCACTAGTATCTCAGAAGTCTGCACACTGAGGTAAGTTGGTATGTAGAGTAACTGAATCATCTTGGCAATACTACCTATGCCCCCACCCCAAGAATAAACTAAATCCCACCGTAACCATCTCTTTGGCTTCATGGTCGCCCCAAATAATAAGACGCGATCGCTTGTTTAACCACCTGGAACCTAGTCTTTGTATTAAGTCAGGGTGAAAACAAGAACTTCAGTTTTCAGCGTGCAAGTCAATACCTTTGGTAAATCCATGAAGCTTGGTCGAGCGGTGGAAATTAAGCCAAGAGTTTTTAAGGAGCAGTTCACGAGCTGTGATAAAATGTCACAAGCTGCTTCAGCCGATTCCTTGCTGCTGTCCACCTTCAAAAGGAAACAAAACAGTGAATGCGAAGTTTCGCTTACACATACGCATCGCAACCTAAGACCTCTCCTGCTGGATCATACCAGCACGCCATTTCCTAACCAGGCACCTCAGAGGGGTCACAAGCAATATTCCCTCTAAGCCTTGTAGTCTTGTGAGCAAAAATTCTACTTTGTGAGCTACTGGCATTGAAGTTGTGAGCAAGCGATTTGGCTACTGCATAGATCAGTTTGCTCTGGAGCCCTCCTTCCTGAGCTGAGACAAAAATGTGTGAACTGGAGGCTAAAAAACTGTGAGCTAGCTCACACTAACTCAGCTTAGAGGGAACACTGGTCACAAGCAGGTGTGGAGGCCAGAACCTCACACTACTGTTGCCATCCAGCAATCGGTATTCAGAAATATGCTACTTCTGAACTCAGGAGCTCTATTCTCTCTGAATTCTTCTAATGTCTTTTAAAAGCCACTCACATTAGGGGTCATCAAATCCTGTCATAGGCTGTGATCACACTGGAGGCTTGGTACGATATGGTGCCGCCTCTGTCTGAACCAGGTTAAAATGTAGTGGAATATATCAGCCACACAGCACACCCTGCTGTGGGTTACCCACGGAGACATCCCGTGGTAAAGCATCCACATTATTGTGGCGCCTCAGCCATGGAGCGAACTGCAAAAAAAATCCAAAAACCATGACTGTGTGCATAGTGCGCGTGTGCACGCATGTGCACATAGGCAATTCTTTAAAAAAAACACCTCCGTAGCGGCAGAACCGATCTGCAGGTTCACACTGCCAAATCCGTTCTACGTGCGCTCCCCCGTGTTCAGACATCTGGCCGTGCGCAATAAATGCGCGGGGAAACAAAAACACCACTTCGGAGGTGGTGGCTTTTTAACCTGGGTCCAAGTCGTCCTCTTACGGGGTGAGTACACCCGGGGAACGCCTGACAGATGTGGCTGTGTGATCCTGCCTGTTTAATCTGTTTGTAAAATGAGCCTATATCGGGCCAAACTACCAGTCTGAACACAACCATAGTGAGTGACAATACTTTGTAGGAAGAGGTACTTCCTTTTTTCTGCCCTGCCCATCAATTTCATCAGTTGACCCCCAAGTTCCAGTACTTTGGGAATGGAAGTAAACAGTTTTCTACCCACTTTTTCCACACCATGTACAATTTGTAAACTTCTATCAAGACTTTTCCCTAAACTGAAAACCTCCAGACTTTTAAAGGAAGTTTAAAGGAAGCAACTGTGTTGCTTCTTGCCTTTGTCAATTAACTATGACAGGGGTCATCTTAGTTTTGATGTTACCTTTCCTAATCTGTGGTATATATTTGAAAATTCAGTTAGTGGAGTTTTACCTTCTAGGCATCCTGAAGAGATCTGACCCTCTTTATTTAAAACTGCTTTCAGCTTCCTTTTTGACTAATCCACCTAGGTTCCTTGTAAGTTTCCTTTTCTGAAATCAAATGTTGAACTTCTGGGGCAACTTCCCATTAGAACTTAATAAAGATGTAGTCACTGTTCCATTCCAGTTCAACACTACACCTCACATTAATAAATCCTGAACAACAATAAGGCCAAGCCCCGGTTTGCCTCTCCTCTAGCTGGTTCCATGATTAATTGTTTCAAGGCATAATCATTTAGGATATCTAGAAATGATTTCTCCGTTGCAACAAAACATGCATTTACTTAATCACTGTGAGAGTAGTTGAAGCAACCAACTATTGGAATGTTTTCTCTTGTCACCTCCCTTATTTTATCTCCATCTCAAGATGAGTGTTCTGGTCAGGGGTGATATTAGATTACCTTTGGGGCCTATTATTTCCACTCACAGTAATGCTGTGGAGGAGTTTATTCCTCTTCAGTTCTCTAGCTCCATTCGGAATCTGACCACAGCTCTTTAAGACACCCTCTTTAAGTCTCCTCAGGCAAACACATTCAGAAGGAATGCAGAAGAGCAAGAAAAGCCGTATCTCAACAGAATGCATTTCCAAGAAAAGCACTGCAACTGTGGTGTTGGTAGCTATTCAGTTGTGTTCAACTCTTGGTGCTTCTATGGGCCAGCTCTCTCCATGTTTTCCAATCTTGTACTGTTTACATATATATGTACTGTGGTACATATAATCTAAAATCAGCCCTCTTGAATACTACTATTTGCCGATTTAGCTGAGTACAGAAAGACACTAAACCTTGATACCATTTAACAGACTACAGTCATGATAGTCTGGCAACAGGGACTACACAAAAACAATCTGAGCATGTACAAACTGTTCACAGGAAACATTACAAGTAATCTGGGAACACACTATTAGCTCATTCACACATCTGGCATAATTATCTTGAGCTGCTCTCCAGGGTGGATTTGATTTAAATCATGATTTAAATCTCGTCAGTAAGAATCGATTTAAATCATGGTTTTTCTACCTCTTGCTGGCCTTAATATTTACAACCCAGATGAAGGTTTCATTTTTAGTGTAATAAATTTTGAGGCTAGTTTTACAGATATATCAGAAAATCACTGCTTTTTTGTTATTTTCCATTTGACATAGATAATTATGAAATCATTACAAGATGAACTACCTACACTTTAATAGATTATAATCATTCATATTTGAACTTTTCTGTTGTACTTTACTGGAAGGAGAAAAATAATTTTTAACAATAGCAACCATTTAAATTGTTTGACAAAAAAAATAATACTGTATAGCAAATGTATTCTTGTATTTGCTTAAAAATCAATGAAGCTACACTCACAAAAATCTCAAGACTTCTAGAGTGTTCTACTCAAAAAGTTTTGTTTTCATTTGTACTGCTTGCCCTTCCGTCTGAAATAATTCTGAAATAATTCTTTACAGAGGTTTCACTGGTAGCACCATTACTGGAATCACCTCTATTGTTCAAGAACCCCAGAATAACCAGTGTTCAAGTAAAAACTGGTATGGTTCTGAGATGACGATAACGATACAGGGGTTGCAGTATCAAGAACTAATAATGACAACAATACTGCATTGTGCATACATATATTCATAAATATTCTGTAAGATATAATACATTCTTAATCAAGCATAACAATATTCCATGTCTTGCGAAACGGAAGATATTCCGGAGAGTTTCGTCCATGACATCATCTGTAACGACATGCAATATTGTTATGCTTGATTAAGAATGTATTTTTATATCTTATAGAATATTTATGAATATATGTATGCACGATGCAGTATTGCTGTCATCATTAATGGTTCTGAGATGGACATAGTATCAAAATTCTTCTGATCAGGATATTAAACATGCATATTAAAAAGAGTTTTTTTAATTTCCTTTCTTATGACACTGAGATGCAAGGCCAGTCATTTCCAATATAAAAAGCAGACAGGCATAACCTGAAGCAACTGACTTTCTTAGGAAGAAAGATTCTCGCACTGCATATTGCTGGAAAAGATTCAGCATTCAGTTCTCTGAAGCTCTCTCTCTCTTTTTGCTGTCAAGTCATGGCTGACTTATGGCAACCCTGTGGAATTTTCAAGGTAAGAGACAGTCAGAGGTGGTTTGCCTGCCTACACCTCATGAACCTAGTGTTCCTTGGTGGTCTCCTGTCCAAAGGTGACCAGAGCCAAACCTGCTTAGCTTCCGAGACCCAACAAGGTTGGGCTAGTCTGAGCCATCAAAGTCAGGGATCTGACTCCCTGAAATGCCACCGAGACAGTCACAGAGTCATCGAGCTAAGTGTTTTGGGGAAGAAGTACAAGATCTCTGGTCAGATCACTGCTACTCCAGATATATCCGTGGAACCAAATGGAAGACAGTGATGCCTGTTTTGCCTACTGCTACCACATACTGAATCAAAAGAACACCCTTATTTCCTACAAACATTCAAATATTTTAAGTTTGGCACAGAAAGACTGATTTAATGCCCAAGGAACATCAGCCTCACCCGAAAATGCTACACACACAAACCTGTTCTATAGATACAGATCACACTGAACTATGGTAACCCCATATGAGCCCCGGAGGACACTATGAATCAACATCTTATAGTAGTCCCTAGCCCCAGGGATGTCCAACTTGCCTCAACCAGGGCCAGGGCTTTTTTGGCCCTGGCCCCCACCTGGTGGAATGAGCTCCCATACGAGATCAGGACCCTGCGGGATCTATTACAGTTCCGCAGGGCCTGCAAGATGGAGCTCTTCCACCCGGCCTTTGGCTGAGGCGGCAGACGTCCCTTTCCTCTCCTGGCTATCTCCCCCTAAGTAGCCTGGATCTTAACATTGGTACTACTGATCAGAATTAGTTTGTTGCACAGTATTCTACGGTATTACTGTTTTAATTGTTATTTTAGTTACCATTTTAATGGTATTGTATTGAAACTGCTGTGAACTGCCCTGAGCCCGTCCACGGGGAGGGCAGTATATAAATCAATCAAACAAACAAACTGGTAATTCAGTTTTATGTCCCAGCTCTTTAGAAGTAGATCCCACTGATATCAATAAGTCCTCCCTCCCTGCTGACAATTCTGAATTAGGGTTTAAATCAGTTGGCAATGCTATGACATCTGCACTGTGGTCTGGAGACTCCAGGTCTGGTGCTTGCACACACGGTGCAGAGGTCCTTAGCAATCGACTTCTCTACTCGGAAGCACTGAGTTGCACAACTATTATCCTGCCTCTTCCCTCTTCTCCACCCAAATCATTAACTTTCTCTCAGCGTTGCTAGAATGAAGTTGGCTGGAAAGCTGTCATTCCTCTTGGCGCCACCCTTTAAAATTCTGTCTACAGGCCATTAAATGTCATTTCATATTCTATCCACCAAGGAACTTTACGAATAAAAAAATGTGTTGGTTTATCTTTCTATTCACATCTTCTGTGGCATATCTGCATTTAAGGGCTGCTTATTATAAGACATTATATATTCTGGTACAAACTCCCAAGAAGAGTCAAACTCTTGCTTTTCCCTGCGAGTGAGAAAAAACAGGGCCAGGCATATATTTTAAAAGGAAATTTTAAAAGCTCAACATACATGCACACCTGTTTTGTGCTTGGGAACCAGGAACTGACTATAAAATTTAAGCAGAAACCCTCAAACATGAGCTTGCTCAACATATATGTAAGTTGCACCACTCTGTCTAAAAGTGATTGTCTTTACACTGTTTCACTATACTCACTTAGTTTGGCAGTCCAATCTGCACTGTAACAAGCCTGGCCAATAGACTGGGTACTATAAAGGACACAGCATTAGTAAGCTCAAACAGAAAGTAGAAGTTCTGAATCCAGAATTCCCTCTTCTTCCTTTGTTTTACAAACTTGTACTAAGAATTAAAAAGTCAAATTAATTTTCAGTGTCTTTGTGAGGTACAAAAGTATATCCATGCACACCCAGGAGATATGGTTTGTTTTCTGAAAGCCAGTTTGATGTAGTGGTTGAGTGCACGGACTCTAATCTGGGAGAACCGGGTTTGATTCCCCACTCCTCCACTTGCACCTGGCTGGATGGCCTTGAGCAAGCCGTAGTTCTGATAAGAGCTGTCCTTGAAAAAGAGCAGTTTCTGTCAAGAGCTCTCTCAGCCCCACCTACCTCACAGGGTGTCTGTTGTGGGGAGGGGAAAGGAAAGGAGTTTGTAAACCGCTCTGAGACACCTTTGGGTAGTGAAGGGTGGGGTATAAATCCAATCTCTTCTCTTCTTCTACTTAAAATGCGCACCTAATGGGAGAGTTTATTTGGCCAGAAGGATTTCTACCAGCTGAGCACAATTGTGTTGCTTTCCACCTCCTGCTACAGTAGAAGAAGAAGAGAAGAGATTGGATTTATACCCCACCCTTCACTTGGAGTCTCAGAGCGGCTTACAAACTCCTTTCCCTTCCCCTCCCCACAACAGACACCCTGTGAGGTGGGTGGGGCTGAGAGAACTCTGACACAAACTGCTCTTTCAGGAACAGCTGTGCCAGAGCTTGTGACTGACCCAAGGTCACATCAGCAGGTGTAAGTGGAGGAGTGGGGAATCAAAGCCGGTTCTCCTAGATTAGAGTCCTGAAATGCTTTGCAGGAAGGAACAGGAAACCCCCAGGAACATCATGGGGCATTCTGGGCTGTAGTGGAAGGCAAGAAATTCATGCTATACTCTGTTAGATCTGAGCCTATCATCACTACAGAAAGTATTACCATACTGCAAAATATGTTGTTTCCATTTTTTCCTGTTTTCTTAGACACATTAATTGGCTGTTTGGGACAGATAAATAAATTCAGTTTCTCCCCATCAAGCCACTGAATGGTACCGGTGTAATTGTCTTACTAGAGAGGAGGTGTGCCCATGGAGTTGGAATAGGGCCAACAATCTACAAAATACACAACTTTTTTTTAAAGCATAGTTACCTTGAAACTAACATACTGTAGATGATTGGAATGCCTTTTGATAATTTGCTTAATGAGCTCTGGATGAGTAGCCTTCAAATAAGATGTAGCTGGCTGATTCAGCTCAAACTCAAAACATCTCCACAGCTCAGGCATATGGAACACCTGGTTCCACCTACGGCAGACCTGCGATGCATGGGCACGATCGAGGAGAGGTAAATACTGGAACACCTGCAGAACAATGTCTGGAATGAGGTTTCCCCAATCAGGGCTCTGAAGCACTTGGGCACATCCTTGATCCGCTGTCTTCCGCTTTTTGTCCCCTGTTGTATTCTCCTCATCTGATAAGTGATCGCTGGCTTTGCTGTTTTTTCTTCCTCGTTTCATCCTATCAAGATAAGCAAATATTTATATAATCAAACGTGATTTCCACTAATGACTGTGCTTGGATACATTATTTAAGCAGAGAGTTCTCAAAAGGTGAGAAATGCAGAATAAATGTCCATATTGGAAATACTCATCTGGAAATATTTTATAACGCTTTATATTCTGAAATGCGATACATAAAGTAACACTTTTAACTGTAAGAATCTAGTGTTAATTGTGATATACTTTGAAAATTTTTACTACGGATTGCATTCTACAAGGTCTCTCACTTGATCTTGCCCGATCCCCTACACACTGCAGCCCCCTCTCCTGCACAACTTTTGTCCACACTTTGTCAGACTCGGACCTGAAGTGGGATTTATCATTGTTGCATTGCTAATGCCAGTTTCACTTTTGTATTCTTGCTTGCTCGGGACACATCTGGCTTTGTTTGCTATCACATGCCCTCACTGCCATGAGATTCCTAAGGGGGGGGGGAGAGTGTGAGAGAGCAATTGTTGTAGTTGTAGGGATCTGCCACCATAACTGTAACTCTTGTTGAAGCAGCCCCCAAGGAGTGCCTGGGTTTTCACACGGGAGTAACCTTGGGCTTTGGGACTAGCTAGCTAAGACTTTGGGAATAGCTAGTTTGGTCATATATCTATTAGAACCATTAGTAAGCTGGTGTGTGTGACGTATGTGTGGAATGTGGGCATTCACCTTTACTTTCCATCTCCCGCCCTGGACTTGCCAGTCCTAACAAGGGCGTTCATCTCTGCAGTTGACCAAATCTTTCCAATAAACTTCTTTAAGTAATATTGGCTGAAGAGTGGTCTCACTGGGAGTCTGACACATGTATCCCATTAACCCTACTACAGCTGTTCCGCTAGTCAAAAAGGGCTACTTTCCCAAGCCAAAGATAAAGTTGTTAGGAAAGACCCATTTCATTATATTTAGTTTAGACATCTGACAGCATGCAAACTCTGAATCTGATACACTTTTGTGAGAACAACTGTTGGGTTTATGTCACTCTGAAGCATACACAAGAGATGGTTAACAACGAAGGGGAGAGGGTAGCACAGAAACCCCTTGAAAAGGTCTTACTGCAGCACTTGAAAAATGATGCATTTATCATAACACACGCTGCATAAGGTTATACACAAGTTTTTCATTACAGAAGCTACAGAAGCAATGTAATGATGGGAACAAGGGCAAGTAGCCGCATTAAGACATCACGAACAAGGCACAGTTTGTGCATGACAAGAATGTTCACACTGAAATTGAGGACTTCCTAGTTGAGGTGGTCTTCAATCTAACCAGCTTGTGATGATGCCTGAACCTGGGCACTTTTACAAACTGATTCTTGCTATCAACTGGTATTCTTTCAAACCAGGATTAAACTGTGGATGCAAGATTCCCATACGAAAATACAAAGAGTTATCTGGTACATACATGTCTTGCTCGCTTATTGAGCTCAACAGAGATTAATTATACATGGCTTCATTTGAGCCCTGCAATTAATTCCCAGAATCCATATTTTGGCTGCAACTCAAATAATTGGCAACAGTGTAGTCATACATACCAGTCAGGCTCCACCTGAGAAACAAAAGAGTTCTTTTGCGTTTGTTTTGAACACATACATATACTAAGCCAGTCAATGCTGTGTGTGCGTGTGGGGACGGGACTTTCACTACTTTTTACACTGCGGAGACTCATTACATCAAAGTAAGCCAAACAGTTACTGATCTTTTAAATTACCTTTTCAGAAAACAATGTGAGAACAGACGGGTGACAAATAATACTAGGTGTTTCCCTCATATCTGAAACATCCTGGACTCTGTAAAACCTCCACAGCACCAATGTGGTGCTGTGGGCACCAAGTCACACAGGTCTCCTACACTACTCTCATCCTTCTGCCCAATAAGCTACTTTGGGTAGGTACAGGGACCTTATCCACCAGTGAAAGGAACACCATCAGGAAACACCATCACTGCCACCCGCACCTGCTATACTAATGCTTCTAAACAGGAAGACAGTCACAAAAACTGGAGTAACGAAATTTCATGCGCTTTGCATGCCATAAGGCCTGTATGCCCCTTTCCAACTCTATGATTCTATGTTGGATGTACGTGAAAAGGTGGCAGCCAGAAAAATCTTTAGTGAAGAGTGTATATGATTACGGGTGAATTTTTAACAGAAGGAAGAAAGCCATGGAACTGGGTAGGTGGGAGAGAGAGAGGGATTCAGGCTAACACACAGTTATTCACGCTTTTGTAAATTAAAAAAAAAAAAGTTAAACTGGCCTTCTTTTGCATCCGCCCCGACCTTTGCCGGTCCGCACTTTGTGTCAGAATGGCCCTATGTAACAGGGTATTACTGACAATAATGTCTCAGAGGCACTGAAATAAGCACTCACAGCAATACGAGCAGAGGAACAGGCCTAATGCAACTCTTTTTGGAGCAAGCATGAAGTGGCAGCAGAGGAAAGACAGCCTGTGGGTTTTTTTTTAAATTTAGATGGCAACATATGAGGCTGCAAACATATGCTGAGAAATAAGCACGACCCTTGCACCTGAGACTGGCACAAGCAAGGAGAGAGAAAAAGGGGACTTCAGTTGCATTATTATCCCGTACCTGATACACATGGTCAATAAGCAGCAGTTTTCAGACCTGGGCTGTAGTGAACTGGGGTGGGGGGCAGTGTTCCCTCTAAGCTGAGTTACTGTGAGCTAGCTCACAGTTTTTTAGCCTCCGGCTCACACATTTTTGTCTTAGCTCAGAAAAGAGGGCTCCAGAGCAAATTAATGTATGCAGTAGTCAAATTGCTTGCTCACAAAGTAGAATTTTTGCTCACAAGACTCCACAGCTTAGAGGGAGCATTGGTGGGGGGTGGGGATTCCCATCTCAGTGCATGGTGCTATACAAGGATCAGGGAGTCTGTGTAACAAACCCACTCCTTGGGGCAGCACAGAATCCCCTCGAAAAAGTCTTAGTGCAGCATCTCCAATTGCAAGCATCAGAAAGCAAGTGAAGCTGAAAGTCCTCCCTCTCCCCAAGACCCTGAGAAGCCACTGCTAGTCAAATTAGGCATTATTGGTCTTGATAGGCCAAGGGTCAAAGAAGCTTCATACGTTCATTAGTCTGGGCTTGGGGGGGGGGGCTACACTCAGTGGCAAAATGTTTGCTCAGCATGGCAAAGGTCCCAGGTTCAATCCCCGGTGTCCCCAAAATAAAAAGGACCCGGTTCCTACCTGAGATCCTCTGCCAGTCTGAACCTCTGACCTTGATGGACCATCGTCTAACCCAGGGAAAGGCAGTCACAATGGGCTGTGGCTCAGTGGTAGAGCACCCGCTTGGTACGCATAAGGTCCCAGGTTCAAGCCCCCGCATCTCCGCTTAGCCTCAGCCAGGGATGTTTGCTTAGCCTCGACCAGGGCAAGGGCCTTTTCAGTCTGTGCCCCAACCTGGTGGAACATGCTTCCCCTGGAGATCAGGCCCTGCAGGACTTACTACAGTTCCGCAGGGCCCCTTTCTTAGTGCCCTGCTGTTCTGGATACTATTTGGGCACCGGAGTTTGCTGGGGTACCTATCTCTGCCTGACATGAGGCATGGGTTTTTGTTACCATTTACTGTGCCGCCTGTTGTTTATGGTTTTATTGTTTATGGGTTTTATGTTGTAAGCTGCCCTGAGCCCACTGGTGGGATAGGGCGGGGTATAAATCAAACAAATAATAATGATAATACTCTCAAGTTAAAAGATCTGGCAGCAGGTGATAAGAAAAGACCTCCGCCTGAGATCCTGGAGAGCGCCGCTGCCAGTCCGAATAGACAATACTGACTTTGATGGACCCAGGGTCTGATTCAGTATAAGGCAATTTCATGTGTTCAATCCAATAATTTTGGGGAGGGGCTGCAGCACAGAGTTCCCAGGTTCAATCCCTGGCGTCTCCAGTTAAAAGGACCAGGCAGCAGGTGATGTGAAAGACCTCTCTGCCTGAGACCCCGGAAGAGCTGCTGCCAGTCTGAGAAGGCAATACCGGACTTGCTGGACCCAGGGTCTCCGTTCAGTGCAAGGCAATGCAGGACCACAGACGCAGGGCAAGCTATGCGACCTGAAGAGGCAAGACCCTCGGCCACGACCAGGAGGACTCCCTTGAGCATCCCTGACCAGTGTTCCCTCTAAGCCGAGTTAGTGTGAGCTGGCTTACAGCTTTCTAGCCTCCGGCTCACGCAGTTCTGTCTTCGCTCAGGAAGGGAGGGGCTCCAGAGCAGAGCAGTTTGTGCGGGAGCCGGATTTGCTCGCTCACAACTTCAATGGCAAGAGCTCACAAAGCGGAGGTTTTTTGCTCACAACGACCCCCCCCCCCGGGCGCGCGCCCTCTCCCCAGGCCCCGCCCACTCACTCACCCACCTACCTGACCCCCGTCAGCTCCGTCCCGCGCGTCACTCAACCCGGGCCAGGGCCGCCTCATCAGTGGCCCCGTCCGGCTCCGGCGGGCAGCTTCGCCTCCCCCGCTCACTGCCGATGCAGCCACCGGGAACCGAAAGCGAAACAACACGGGCGGGCGACCGAGAGAAGGATAGAAAAATAAGGGGGGGCGCCGCCGCCGCCCCTTGTTCACTTCAGGCGCCGGAAAGCAGAAGCGCCGCCGACAGCAGCAAAAGATAAAATGGCGGCCGCTCCGCCTCAGACTCGGGTCCCTGCCCCGCAAAGGCGCATGCGCGCGCCGGGGAGCTTGATTCCGCCCCGCCCCCCGCCACACCAGCACACACACACACACACACTCCAGTGTTCCCTCTAAGCTGAGTTTAGTGTGGGCCAGCTCACAGCTTTTTCCGCCTCCGGCTCACACGGTTTTTTGCCTTCGCTCGGGAAGGACGGCTCCGGAGCAAACTAATTTATGCAGTAGCCAAATCCGCTCGCTCGCAACTTCGATGCCCGTAGCTCACAAAGTAGGATTTTTGCTCACAGGACTCCACAGCTTAGAAGGCACGCACCCTCGAGCGCGTCTGGAAATGGACTAGATTCTAGGGGGCGGGTGGGATGGTCGGCAGGCGGGACTTCGGGCTGTGCTTCGGCTCTCGTGTCGTCCAAGGGAGGAGGGCGGCTGTTCCGTCGGAAAGCGTTGCGCTGGCTCTGGCCGGCGTCGCCTTCTGCTTTCCTAGGAACGGATCTGAGGGTCAGACTCAAGTCTTGTGGAGGGGATCTACTAAAAGGAAGGACGGGATTGCCCATTGGAAACAATAGGAGACGCTTGAAGGCCCATTGGCGCCAAAACCAGTTCTGGAGAGGAGGCGCGAGAAGCATATTTGACCCCCAGGAACTCAGGGGCAGCCGGAGGAGCCGAAAGGAGGCGGGGGAAGATTTGCGCCAAAACCAGTTCTGGAGAGGAGGCGCGAGAAGCATATTTGACCCCCAGGAACTCAGGGGCAGCCGGAGGAGCCGAAAGGAGGCGGGGGAAGATTTG